TTAACCACTTTTTGTTAGTAGCTTTTAGTCTTGAAAAGTAATTAAACTTTAATTAAAAAATAAATTAATTATGAGTATCTTGGCAAGCTAAAGTTTCAAAGTAGCTTCTCCAACACTCCACTACTCTGTAACTCAGTTTTATGGGATTGAGTCCACTTTAAATTCCAGTCACCACTCTTTCTAAAAATGATTTGTGATTTTCTAGCTCACTATGCTATACTGCCCTCCACCTGTTCTGCTGCTATCTGTCTACACGAGTCTCCTTCATGCTACGAATCAAACATGATGTGGGATGAATGTTATAATATCACCATACAGTACACGGCCATTTAATCAAGTCAGTAAAATCAAACTCTCGGGTCTGTGATATTATTGTAACATTTTTAAACATTTGCCCGCTGAAACCATTAGCTACGATTTTTTAAAACACACATTATGTAAGTTGTTGAAATTTACATAATGTACAAATTTGTTACATAAAATACAACCTTTCAAACTAAATCCAATCTTTCTTTTAAAAAAAAAAGAACAATTTTGATTTGGTTGACATGCTCAAAGACACGATCTTCCATGCGTCAAATTTCATATTCCCTCCGAGATAAAACAATCGGGTGAACGTTTCTTGCTCTTCTCCCTCCTGGATTCCTGTGATGGTTTTCTGCCTGTTAGAGCATGCAGGGTTGCTAGGAGCTCAGAAACTGTGGGATCTTTCTCCCTCTATTAGCATTTTTCTCTTGCCATCTCTGAAACTCTACCCTTCACCTGCTGAAATCACTCTCTCCTGCTCTGTCTCCCTGTTGTTCTCTTTCATGCCTGAGTTTCAAGAAGTGACTCTAATAAAAGTCTATAGGTATGTTCCAGTCGCCCAACTGTGTCCCCTGCAAAGAATTCCAGGGTATTTGACCACCTTAAGCAAGATTCCACATCGTAGAAAGTTTGTTTAGTCACTGTTCACCACTATGGAAGTATAATCGGTTCAGTATTGTTGTCTTTGAGTGTTTCAATGTATTATTTTAACAGTTTGTGAAGCATGTTATTTGAAGTATGAAAGTTTAGAAAAATGCATAAACAACCAGACTTCGTGATTTTTATTTTAGCTAATAGTATGCTGATACAAGCAAACAAAAATCATGTTATTTGTTCTTTGTTGCTATTGTAAAGGTTTTACGGTAAACTATGTTTCATGTGCCTTTTAATGTTGTAAACGTCAAACTGAAGATCGCAGACCACATTAGCAGTTAAGTCGCATATGTATTAAATACAAAAGAATCCTATATATTGTCATATAAAACATTGTAACAATCATTTAGCACTTACAATAGGGGTTTTGGGTATTAAAACTCATATTTAAATTTATGAAATATTATTCAAACTGTTTTTTATTTTAATATATTTTAAAATGTAACTTTTTCCTGTGATGGTAAAGCTGATCACACGATCCTTCAGAAATCATCCTAATATGGTGATTTGATGCTCGAGAAACATTTCATATTATTATCAATGTTGAAACTGTCTTTGCTGCTTAATATAATTGTGGAAACCCTGATAATTCTTTTTCAGGATTCTTTGATGAATAGCAAGTTAAAAAGAACAGCATTTATTTTAAAGTCATTAGAGTCATTGTTACACTTTATTTTAAGGTGTCATTGTTACAATGTAATTATATATTTATGTACTGAGTAATATTAATTAACAACATGTACTTATAGGGTTAGGGTAGGATTAGGGTTTGGTTGAGGGTTAGTTGCATGTAATTATGCAACATTAAAACATATGTAACAAGGACACTGTAAAATAAAGTGTTACCGAAACATTTGATGACATTAAAGATGTTCGTTGCACTTTTATTTTACAGTACGTGTACTTACAGTGTACTTGCATAAGAAAGGACTGGGTAATATAAGATAACTACATGGGTTTAGGTTAGGTTAGGTGTAGGTTTAGGGTTAGTACCTAGTAATTACCCAGTTATTGTAATTACTATAATAATTACATAGTATGTTCATGGGGAACAGGACTGTAAAATAAAATGCTACCAAAATGTCTTTACTGTTTACCATCACTTTTAAACAAATGTAAATGTACTTGTGGAGTAAAAGTTACCTTTTCTTTTTAAACACAAAAAACCCAAAACAGACTCAATTTGTATTTATTTACACCTGTATATTATGTCACCATACCCAGAATCCTGATGTGTTTAATAATATTGCACTGTTCCAAAGAAATTTTGTTGTGATCATCTACGCAGGCCCTACTCTGTGTGAATGCTGTCTAGGAACCCTGTGAATCAGAACGCAGGTCAACGTTTCCCTCCTCCTTTTTGTCTCTCAGCATGGCAGGTAGAGGCTTGTAATTGTATTTAAAACTCTCATTTGACTCAAGCCCCTGGTAGTGAAGAAGACAAGCATCAGTTTCGGCATCCATTTGAGCCTTTATTCAAAGCTTCATAATTACCACCAGCAAGAAAAAAAACAGAATGTGAGATGAGAAGAACAAGGAGAGAGAATAAGACTGACCCATGCAGAGCTTTGGCTTGCCTTCCTTCCTTTTCAGATCTCTTTGTGTCACACACTTCCTCCAGAAGTCTCGCTGTGACCCAGATCAGTGGCGCTTCAACAGAAATCCTGTCCTAAAGCATCTGTCTGATAATGAAAAGCCAAGTACACAGCTTTGGATCGCTGTTATGGCTGCCCCGTCTCATTTTTCTGAGCAAAGCTGAGCCGGATGGATCAGCATGGAGCTTGTTGGATAATGAAATGATGGTATTTCTTGTGTTTCTGCAAAGAATTTTGACTAATTGAAATGAACGCTAGTTTTTGAAAAAGCAGCGTGAATTCCAGTTTGCAAAGTTCTGAAATGTCATGATATTCATTCAACAAGAAAACGTATAGAGTGCACTGTGAAAAAAGTATTTTCAATGGTTGTAAATTAAACCAAGATTATTGGAGTACATTTTTACAAGAAAATACAGTGTGGGAATTTCATTTAGTTTAAACTTTTTTAATTACCAAGTACACTTTCAAGAAAGTAAACGGCATCCATTTTGGTTTCGTGTAGACTTCTCGATAATAAGAACTTTAATTTGCTTTCATTCACTCATTACAGGCATTCAGGGTGTAAATGACAGAAAAATGCTGTCTTATCTCTGTGACGGTCATCTCACTGGGTGGCAGAAGCCATTAACAGCGTCAAATCAAATTTCCACTCAATTTGAGTGATATCAAATTACTTTTTTGGATTGCCATGGCGATGCTTGTATAATCTCCGGTGAATCTACTGTTCATTAGCATGTCTTATGTCATAAGTGGCGACAATCGATGTTGAGCAATCGCAGCCATTACCCAAAGTGCAGCTGTAATGAAGCCAAGGCATCGGCTTCTTTTTCTATTTCTGTTTGTTTCTCACGTCTCATTATATCCCTATTTTAACACCCCGTCCCCACCCTTACAATACCTCCGCTGATGCCTGGATCTCTGCTGCGCACATCAATTTTACTGTGCTGATGATTGTAATGTGGATGCCAGAGGCTGAGACAGAGCACAATTCCAACAGTAAATGACTGCTGCCAGTTGGCTGCAGTGTGAGTGTTTTTGTGTGCATGTTTGTGTCTGTGTTTTTTTCCTCAATTTGTTCTTATTGCCTGCGCACTCCCCTGAGGTACTTGTGTTGACGGTTGCTCTATTTTTGCTGGATGAATGTTTGTACAGTTCAAGGGGCAGCTCTCTGTGAAATGTTAGATTTTCAAATTGTTGCTTTTTTTTTTTTTGACCTTCCGCTTTGGTAAGCGACTGAGGGCCGCCTCCTGTGTCTCACCCTGAAGAGCTGTTTTGTTAAATCGCTCAATTGCACCTTTAAACACTGCATTCAAACCCTTCAATCCACACAATATATTTTGAGATCATGCGCAAACCATTTCAACAGGCGATTTTACCTGTTCACCTTTTGAGTAACTACACCCATCAATGGCACTTATGCAAAATACCCTTGTGTTTATTTAGGGAATATTTGGTTCATTTGATGTGCTTTCTGAGAACAGTTTAGAACTCTGAGTGCCACTGAACACACTTCACCGAATTGAAATACATTTTGCAGAATCAGTGTAGAAAATACAACCTTTAGTGTTCACTAACACGGACCAACCAGCTATAAGCTCAAAGCGATGTATTAGCAACAGTAAAATGAAAATAAGATTTAAAAAAAGTCCGCTGAAATGTATAATTATTTTTAAATAATTTGAGACTTTAAAATTGTTTAGGAAAAAGTATTGAAATTAGAAGGCCAAAGAACAGAAAATCATGGCTTTTATGTAATTATTTAATAAAATTAACAAATTATAATAATGTATTATTATTTAAGTAATATAAAAGTAATCATACATTTTCTAATTTTAATTAAAAAAATATTATTATTTTAGATGGACAGGGAAAATTACGTAGATTAATAGAAGTCATTTTTGACAATTGCTGCAACTGTGTGCCTAGAAATGAGCAGAAAATCATGAGCTGGTTTTTATGTAACTGTCATCATTTATTTTAAAATGCAAAGTAAATTAATTGCAAAATTAATTAATCACAAATATTTTTCATTTTTTTTATATTATGTTAAAACGGTCATTATTTCAGGGAAAAATTAATTAGCTGAAGTGGCTGTGAAATGTGTATAAAAACCAGTGTTGGCACTGGCAGCTGTATTGATTTATAAAGGGAGCGATTTTAGTGAGTCGTGATGCATTGTTTGCATCCAGTGATCCAACTAGACTATTTTCAAGAATCTGAAATAATTTTTCCTCAAGTGTGAAAATAAGGTGTAAATATAAAAGCATAAAAAAAGGAAAGTAAAATTAAAAGTGTCAAAATATAAAGGGGGTTTCCTTTACCATTTAAAATATTTTCTTCCTGAAGTCTAAAATTTTGGTTCTTTCAAGTGCAGTCCCTCAAGCATGTACATGAAGTTTAGTCCAAATCTGTATTCTGATCATCATCTTCTTTCCTCTTGGGCAGGTCTTTCGCAGTGGAGAGGGCATGGGTATCAGGCTGGACAGCGCGTCTGCCTTCCAGGGTGCTATCATTTCCCCTCATTACGATTCACTCCTGGTGAAAGTCATTGCCAGTGGAAAGGATCTGCCTGCGGCCTCTGCCAAAATGAGCCGAGCATTAGCGGAGTTTCGCGTCCGTGGGGTCAAGGTAAGGCTTTTCTCAACAACAGTGCTTGCATAAACGATCTGGGGCAGCACGACTGCGGTCAGATTCAGCATAGACCTCTGGAAATCGATTCAGTTGCACCTTTAAAGGTGCTGTGGTGTCAAACTGAGATTGGTCAAATAGATTTTTAGAGTAAATGTCATGCCTTTAGTCAATTACTTTAGAAAAAAATTCATTTATAAAACTTACCAGCTTAGCTCATGAATATTAATTATGTGACATCATCTAATTAATATTCAACAGGCTTGGTAGTTCCATGACCTCGCCCTTTTATAATGGCTGCTATGCTCCTGGTCAAAGTGCACAATGCCGAAAATGGTAACTTCCCGTGAAAAAGCAAGCACGAGAAGCCTGACATGACAAACTGAGTAAGAGATCAGATCAGAAGTGATTTTTTTTCCGTGACGGAATCTATGGATTCTCTTTTCCCCTATTAAGTGTGTTGTTCTTTTGAAACGCATCTGAGCAGCAGACATTTCACGGTCTTGTCACACGTCATGCTGGCTGCCATCTGAGGCTCTGATATCAGACCTTGAGTGAGCTAAAAACATTTCCATTTTGAAGATCTTGAGCTTTTTATTTTTTATCTCCCACACACGCAAACCTGAACATGCTGGATGAGTCACGTTAGACCATAGATGGTAACACACACGTATAATATAGTATTTATCAGCATAATGTGATCAGAGTTGGAGTGATGGCACTAATGGCACTCTCGGATGAAGGGTGCAGACCTCACCATTTTCTGATGTGCCGGTTTCGGAGGAAGGGAGGGGTGCGGATAGGAGAAGTCGTCATGGAGTGTTTGTGCTTAATCAGCCTGAATAAAATAAATGTGTTTACATAAACCATTAGGGAAGGAGCTTTCCTGTAAGCGTCTTTAGAAATTCGTTTGGGGGGGGTATTAGGAGAACCTATCTTTGTTTTGGCTGCTTTTAATCTGGGAGTTTTCAGAACGCTGCATTTTATTTGGGGATGAAACGAGAATATAGCTCTAAAGACTAGTGAGCTGCCTATAAAGGGAACATTTTAGGCATGGTTCACTGACAAATGAAAATTCTGTCAACATTTATACACTGTCATACGTGGCCGTACCCACCAGTGAGGACCCTAAAGTCCGGACGGCTGAATTTTTTTCCCAAAAGGTGTATCTAATAAAAGTTGTGAAATAATGGCCTTATTTTAATTTAACTTGGGTGCTGCAAGGGTATTGCATAACACCAAGATAACTCATGAGCTGCCTCAGCGGCTGTCAAAATCAAAATGTTTAAGATGACCAATCAAAATAGGCAGATTGAGTGTGAATTCCATTGTCACGTTTAAAGGGACAGTTCACACAAAAGTGAAAATAGCCCATGATTTACTTATATTTAAAGTTTTAAATATGGATATTTTTCTTACACGAACGCATGGAGACGCGTGGAGCACTTTAATAATGAATAGATGCGCTTTGATGGACTTCCAAAGACACACAGCCATTCACTCCCATTATAAAGCTTGGAAGAGCCAGGACATGTTTTAATATTACTCCAATTGTATTCGTCTGAAAGAAGAATGTCATATACACCTAGGATGGCTTCA